ATTGAATTGAATTGAATTGCAAAATTTAAAATAATGGCATTGCCATTCTTGGTTATTTTAACTGTACACCACATTTTTGACACATACATTTTCCTTACACAGCAGCACACACAGCTTACTATCTGGGGGGAGTCCCTTAACACAGTTAGTGATGCTTGCCAGAGGTAAACAGGTTCATATTACATCCTTTCTGTGTGTCTGAGCTTGTCCATACAGCTATACAATAAGAGAGAGCCCATTCAGGGTCTGTTAACACTTATCACAAGATTTACACTGAGGAGAATGACTGCTATGTATGCAGACATACTCACTTTGTTGATTTTGAGTTTTGTTTTTTGGAGTCAGTGCACCTTTTCTTCAGCTGCAGCTACTGGGGTGGGATGAAGTTTTATGTGCTTACCTGAATTGACTGTGTGCAGTCTTTTTTGATCAGCTTTTTTCCTCTGCTTCCAGTCGTGGAATGTAAACGAATTTAAACCCCCTACAAGGAACTTTCATTTCATGTTGATTCTGTCGGCCCTTGTGGACAAAAGCAGTAGTGTTTCTACTGTCTTGTTTCATTGATTTCAAGGGAAATCTGACCCAGTGGCAGGCATTGAGAATAACTATATAGAAATATTAAATATTCTCTCTGATGGTCCTTGTAGTATGTTTAAAGAGCTGTATTCCTGGGTGTTATAGTAAGACTTTTTGCAAATTAATTCAGTATCAGGTATGGCATAATGTGATCATATTTTACAGAAATGTACTCTAGCAGAATGTTCTTGCAGTTTGGTTGACACAGTCATTAGTTTGTGAGAAGAATGCAACATTTAGAATTGTCTGTAGAGATGCAATGATAATTAATGATTAATTGATTTGTTGTAAACTATTAAATTAATCGCCAATCATTTTGAGTCATTTTTTAAGAAAAACTTCTGACATGTGAATATTTTCTTGGGGTTGTTGATAAAACAAGACATTTGAGGATCTCAGCTTGGGCAGTGATCAAATTTTTTGAGATTTCATGACCCAGAAAATGATTGGCAGATTCATCCATAATGAAAATAATCATTAGTTGTTGTCTATACCTTGTCTACTTTTCTGTTTCTATTTTAAGTACTTGTAACAAATTCTCCTGCCACACCTACTGTTATATGTGATGTTTGAGAGTTTTTGTGATTTGTTCGCTGCAAATATTTTAGGACATGATATTAGAAAGTTGACGGTAGGCCTAGATGTGGAGACTCCTACAAAAGACTCACATCCTCTGAAGGGTTTAAAAAAGAAGGTTATATGTTACAAATGTATTTTTTAACTGTGTGTGTCCAATAGGATTGTGCGTTTCCCCTGGCAGATGAGCGATGGCAAAGTGCGGCATGTCCTCCAGGAGGCGTTTGGTGTGTGGAGTGCAGTGACTCCTCTGAGGTTCAGAGAGGTCACTGCTGAGAAAGCCGACATCATTATTGACTTCAACAGGTAAGAGAGGGCTTCCCAGCATGTCTGGAGTGCGCTAAAACAGTGGTTCAGGCTCAGGACCCCCACTATGGGTCGCCAATGCATCATGTGGGGTCACAAGGCCTTCTGGATTTTGAGGTGTGAAGAAAACTTAAAAATATATACAGTAGACCTATATCTCAGCATTTGCTTAATTTCTGTGGAGAAATCAAACAATCTGCTCAAAATGTATTTCCCTATGTGGATTCATTATACAATATAATAAATATATATTGAATATAATATGAAAAATCCATAATATATGTCATTTATTAAGTGGTCGTCAGTTTACTAAATGGTGGAAAAGGGATCCCTTAAGGAAAAAGGTTAGGAACGACTTCTCTAAAATATTATAAGTAAAGTAATATAAGTATTGTCTAAGTTTACGGTTTCAAAACTTTTCTCTGTTTTCTTTACTGACATGAATAACAGCACAATAGTTATTCTAACATGCGAAATGGTGATTAGTGTTAATGTTAGAAAAAGCATGATTTGGATAATTCATTCAGTCTATATACAGGTCTCGTAAATCGGATCTTCATTTTCTCAGGAAGTCCAGGCCAGAAACAGAATTGCATAGTGAAACTAAGGCTCATACGGAACCAATCTAGACACAAATGAACAAAGTGCAATCAACATTTACAACAACAGCAACAAAAAGTTGTCTGTTTCCACTTTGAGTACAAAGATGCCATACAAAACTGTACATATTCACCCTACATACAGTACCTGTATCAGTCATAACATTGTGAGCACTGACAGGTGAGTGAATAACACTGATTATTGGTATTGTAGCTCATGGCTCCTGTCAGTGGGTGGGATATATCAGGCAGCAAGTGAACATTTTGTCCTCAAAGTTGATTTGAGTGACTTTGACAAGGGCCACATTGTGATAGCTGATGACTGGGTCAGAGCATCTCTAAACTGCAGCTCTTGTGGGGTGTTCCTGGTCTGCAGTGGTACCTATCAAAAGTGGTCCAAGGAAGGTAAAGAACCGGAGACAGGGTCATGGACCAAGGCTCATTGATGTATGTGGGGAGTGAAGGCTGCATGTGTCGATCCAACAGACGAGCTACTGTACTCAATGCTAAAGTTAATGCTGGTTCTGATAGAAAGGTGTCAGAACACACAGTGCATCACAGTTTGTTGGTATGGGGCTGCAGAACATTATGACCACCAGGGGGCCCAGGTGGTCACAATGTTATGGCTGATCGGTGTATAGTCAAGCTACAGATGTAGAAATGCAGCAGCGCTAGTTCCCTGTCTTCTGCATTTGGCCATAACTTTTCATCCACATCACACCCAACCCAGTCTCACTCCCAAGTCAAATACTGCTACTTGGTCAGTGGCCCTCCGCTTCTAAATATATAACGCTGTAGGTATCCATCTAGTGTCATTTCTGGACAAGGATTTTAACCCACCAAATCGCTGTTTGTGTCCCATGTGAAGTAATTTCTTTTAAATAACGTAAGTAAGTTAACTTATGTGTAAGCTATATTCACGTAACATTGAGGAGGATCTGTTATCAGAAATGGAATATAATATTTATAGGTTATAATATAGATGCAACTTACAATCTTTTCCTAAACCAAACCAAACTACGACAGTTTCACAATGTTAACCACGCAAGTTTTATTTTAAAGGTGTAACTGGATGTTGCATATGCTAACTTGACCAGAAGCTGTGGCTGTTACGAATTTATTCTTGTTAACTTGAATGAGGAGCCCTGCACATCCAAAAATTACTCAAGAGGGGAACCTACTGCGTGATATTTTGAAGTGCAGCTGACGAGGGGCAGTGTTTGATGAGTTGGGAGTGAGAACATGTCACACTTTATGTCCTCTCTTAAATCCATCTTGGAAACAATCTTTTTGCATGCCTGGTCCATCCCATTTTAACACAGGTATGTCCAGATATCCAGCATTCATTATGTCCACATGTGTCACCTCCATTAACAGTTCCTCTGGTCCATTCGCACAGGCATGATGGTATATTGGAATCAGCTGTGGTTGATTTCTTTTAGATGCAGTAGAATGTAGCATATTGCAGTGTAATATACAGTGATTTAGTGTTATGTTGGAATGTAATACAAAACAAGTATTTTAACATTTAACAAAAGACAGAGTTTTAGTGTTTTAAGAAACAATTCATATAATGTCAAATGTGAATGTGTGGTCACTGCATGCATTTTGTGTTATGAAGAGTGATCCACAGTTGAGTCCACATTGACTGCTGTTGTGCTGACTGTGTGGATGGTTTTGCAACTCAGTATTGAGATATATATGAAATCTATTGTTAAAACAAAGCCTGTAAAAACAGACCAAAAGTTGGCAACTCTGTAATCTGACCCTGACATAAATCTCTAACAGACTTTTGTCAGACTGACTCAGTAGAAACTGAACCAGATGTGTTCCCAGGCGAGCAAATTACAGCCATGAATGAATGCAACACAGGACTTGTATGGCAGGGCTTTTAATAGCGTGCCTCCAGCTACATTTTTATCAGCTCAGATTAGTCATTTTGGCATTTGGTTTACGATACGTCTGTGTCATAACAACTCTCTTATTTCACTGTGTTACATTACATTAAAGTTGCATAACAATTCTGCCAAGTCCTGACCTGTACAAGTAACTTTCATAAGTGTGCTTTCTAACATAACTGCTTTTAGGTAATTCAATTTAAAAAAAAGGAGACAGCCCTTCTTGACTTAGAAGTGAGAGCCTTTCAAGTGTCTCCTTGACTTACATGTAGAAATAAAGTGACATACGCTCCAGCAATATTATAAAATGCTATATTTATGAAAAATGTAACAAAATGGAAATTGATTTAAACACACAAGATTTTCACCTCACCCCCAGATTACAAATAACTCTAAATAAATATGAATTAGATCAAAGAATAGGGTAGCCTGATATATGTGAGATCAGATGTCTGATGCACTCTCGCTGTGGTACCAGTAAGCTCCCTCACAGCTGAGTTGGTTTTTTGTTATGTACAAGGTGTAACTACTGCAGCTGAATGAGCAAAATAAGCACAGATGCAGCTCCGAAGCTGCTGAGGGGCTTCATGTCCCAGATTCCAAATAAGTCAAGAGTCTACAGCCAAGGTTGTGAGCACAGCAATGCTGCAAGCTAAGTGCTAAGATTGTTAACATGTTCACAATGCTGATGCTAACCAGCTGAAGTTAAGCAGGAATAATGACTACCACGTTCACCATCAAAATTTAGCGTTTTAGCATGCTATCATTTGCTAAAAAATACAGCTGAGGTTGAGGCGCTTGTCATTAGTTTTGCAGGTATTCAGTCAAAAAAAGTATTGGACAAATTGAAATTTTGACCTGATGGTGGCGCTGGGTGAAAAGTCAGAAGATTGAGTTATTACAATTCATCCTGAATGTCTGTACCAAATTACTAGACAATCCATCCAATATTAAGAATAGTAGAACCATGCATAGTAGTTGTGCACATTCAAATACCGTTGAAGCAAGGTGCTAGACCAATAGAGGAAAGCATAAAATAAAAAGAAAACATGAAAAAGGGACCGCAAACTGTAACTCCCTTAATGTGCCAATAAATTGCATTTAAATATATATATATATATATATATATGGTATATATAATATAGCCGTAATATCGCTATTGCTCGCCACCAGACTTCATAGATAAAAACTGTTTCAGTGGCTCTACTCAGCTGCACACAGAGCAGAATGGAATGGAAACAAACCACAGAGAGGC